CAGCATCTGTAACACTATTCTCAGATGAATCTTGTGATCCTCCTGAGATCGTGAATACACAAGAATGTCATCCACAAACACTACCACAAACTGATCCAGATATTTTTGAAAGACACGGTGCATCATATCCATGAATGCTGCTGGCGCATTAGTCAACCTAAAAGGCATCACAATGAACTCACAATGACCATACCACATACGAAAAGCTGTCTTCGGAATATCCTCATCCCGAATTCATAACTGGTAGTAACCAGATCTTAGATCAATCTTGGAAAAGTAAATAGCTCCCCTTAACTGATCAAACAAATCATCAATCTGCGGTAAAGGATATTTGTTCTTGATAGTTGCATGATTCAATTTTCGATAATCGATGCACAACCTCGTAGAACCATCATTTTTCTTTGTAAACAATACTGGCGCGCCCCATGGTGAAACACTAGGCCGAATAAAACCCTTCAGCCTCAAATCATCCAACTACTTCTTTAATTCCTTCAGCTCTGTTGGTGCCATACGATATAGAGCCATAGAAATCGGTGCAGTACCTGGCATCAAGTCAATCATAAACTCAACTTCTCTTCTGGGAGGTAAATCCGGTAAGTCATCCAGAAACACATCCAAGAACTCACAAACAATTGATGAAGAAACTGTCCCCATATCACCATCTTCTTTAGCTAAAATGTTAGTTAAGAAGAAATCACAGCAGTCCCAACCACAAACACTATAACAAGCTGAAACCAAGGAATCACCCCGATCTCCCACAAACACAAAACAATCTCCCTCCGCTGTACACACTAAAACTCTACCACTGAAGCAATCAATCGTGGCATGAAATGATGATAACCAATCCATCCTAAGAATGAACCCTGTCATCTCAAGAAGGATAAGATCAAAACAAAATCCTCCTTTCGCGGCAACTGTAAAGCCTCCCGAACAACAAGTATCACTCAAGCTACAACCAATCCCCTTTTTTGTCAAAGTCCTGACATTATACATTTGGGCTAGGTATGATCCAAAATGTTCGGCCGATCCATATGGCCATCCCATACCCAAATGACAATAACAGTATCACTGACCCCCCTTAAATCGAAGCACAAGTCACTAAGGCTCACTTCTAACATGACTTTTAAGTGAAAACTTCTCTAACATCAGGATCCAACTCTGGACTCCTTAATTATTAATCATAACTGAACATTTCACCATTATGTACGCAAAACGCTCCCATGTGCCAAGCACTAATCAATGCACCCTTAAACTATACCGCATTGGTAACACCTCACAATAGAAACCCAACCAAGTCCAATGAGGATATCTGACCATTATAGAGGTCACCACGCTACTCAACACCCATGAACCACTAATCGGCGTATCCCCATAATGCTCGGTCCAGAAAACTGATCTCCAGTCCCTATGCAAATACAAATGTACCTTTCACCACTAAAGGTCCTGAAAATGACCCAAGAACAACTGTAAACATATAACCCTGGGATGCCTGGCTTGTGAACTCCCAGCCTAAACCCCAAGTTGCTGCCCAATCCTAATAGGAGTATCCTTTTGAACTCACCTCGATCCTTGGGAAGACATAGTTGCTGTGGTGGTAGCGGTGGTTTACATCCAAGCTGTGCTGTGGCCGACTGAGACGGCTTTTGTTGTGCACCTCGACCACTACCCAAAACCTCAGCTCTCCTCGGTTAATCTCTAATCTTGTGGCCTTACTGACCACACTCAAAGCAAACTCCAGTATGAGATGACTACAGATATTCCGTTTTATAGTGCCCAAGCTGTTAGCATTGGAAACATACAACTCCACTCCTACTCGATCCCGATAACACATGAGTCAAAGGAGTAGGTCGCACTGGCTGCTACCCTCCAGACTGAGATGAACCATTTCTCTGTCTTTTACTAGACTGGCCTTCTGTCATCGAGCCACTGCCCATTAAACAGGTCGTTCACCCTCCTCTATAAGTGACGGTACATCATCCCGTCTTATAGGAGAAAACGTTAAACTCTCCCCAACATGTCTAACACTAAGCTTCACTCCTAGGCCTTCCAATGCCTGACTCTTCTGACGAGGCGGCATACTCAAATGAAATTCAAGTCAATAACAATGACACTATCCATAGTCCCAAACTGATTCATATCAATAAAAGCCTTTAAACACATAGCATGCTTTGTCGTAATCAAATAAACACGTAATCACATATACACGTAAGCATGCGTACAAGACAAATAACAGATAAACATGTAAGTATATAAGACAATGCAAACCCTTACACACATAACTGTAGATAGACCTCTACCCGTCGTCCTTAAGTTATAGAAACCATGCTCTGATACCATAACTGTCACGCCCCTAGACCGTAGTCCAGATTATGAACATAACACACAAACAATCACAGTTTCAAAATCAATAAATATCCCTGTAACCTATCTCCACTACACATCCACCTATCTGCTCCCTTTACAAAAACAAGACTGAAAATAAATAGTTAAGATGCAAATAATACGACTTTAAAGTTTTAAAGTCTGAAGTAACATTTATTACATACCAGAAATATTTTAAAGAGATATCATACAAAACATAGACTATTATACCGAATATAACACAACAACACCAGCCTCGACTCTGTCTACAGCTGAGGAGGAACACCCTCTACACCACCCATGCTATGACCTAAAAAGATGTAAATAAAATAGGAATGAGCAACCACAACTCAGCAGGAATTACTTAAAGTGCATTCATTAATACCTCTGTGAATCTAAACAAAGAACGGATAAAAGATGAAGGGGTCATACAGGCTCAGGAAAATAACATATCATATGAGAAATAAAATGAAGTGTCATGTAATGCCAATGCCAATGCTAATGTCACTACACCTTTCACTTCCCAAAATCCCATTTCCATTGCAAAAAGTTAATGTAATCCGCCCAGGGCTGCTCCCCAGTACCATGAGAAGAGAGTTGGTCATCTATCCCTAATACAAGGCCACTTCTTGTGATCATTTGGGGCTTTAGTGACACAACTACGCGTAGATCCACTCCCTACGTCTCCTCTAGATTCTCATTAACTGCATAGAAAAGGCAACTCCTTGTCCAGTTTGAAATCATTGATTCAATTCCCTTTTTCAAACTCACGGATACAAGGCACCTCCCTGTTATCCGATTTTCAAAACCATTTACTGAAACATTTTCATTTTTCTTTTCATTCTAACATCATCCCCATGCTCATGTGAGATGTATGAGATGCATGTACATTTGTGTAACATGATATACAGGTAATGTAATAAATATGGAAATCTGAACTTATATACAATATTATAGTATTGCATTTTAATCCACACACAAGTATGGTAAATTAACAGGCTAATTAATCAATGGTTGTATAACATAAGAAACATACTTTCTATCTCACATTTACCACATAGTAACACAAACATTGCTTAATAACAGTTAGAAAATCAAGTACAAAACTTCTCATTTCAAGAAATATCATAACAACTTATATTATATTTTTTTTCAAGTAGTAGCCTATGTTTATAGGGTCATAACTTTTTTCACAATTGGAATCTAAGGCTAAAATTGGTATAATTGGAAACCTTGTTTTGAGCTAGTCAATTTAGACTCAAAAATTGCTCAATTTGGATTTAAAATGAGGAAGTTATGGTCAGTTGAAGTTCAGGTCGCTGTGTAGGAAATTCTGCAGATTAGGGCGCGAGCCTGGGAGCCTATGTTTAAAGGATCATAACTTTTTCCACAGTTGGAATCTAAGGCTGAAATTGGTATCATTGGAAAGCTTGTTTCGAGCTAGTCAATGTAGACTCAAAAATTGCTTAATTTGGATTTAAAATGAGGAAGTTATGGTCAGTTGAAGTTTAGGTTGCTGTGCAAGAAATTCTGCAGATTAAAGCTCGCAGATTTGTTTTCCAGCACTGTTTTATGCACAAAACACATAGAACTGATTCCTTAAAGGTAAAGGGTGTGAGAGTTAAATAATCCTACCTCAAAGAAGCTTGAAACCCTTGCAAGAACAATTTAAAGCAACCAAAAGATTGAATCAAAGCCACCAATTTTGGAGAAAAATGAAGAACACTCCTTGTAGACCAACCAAGGACTTTCCCCTTTCTAGCCTGAGTTTAACAGTCCAATAGTGGAAAAATGATGACAAGCTTTACACCAAAAGGAAGCTCCTGGTCTATAGTTCACTTCTCATTGCCACACCCACAACAAAATCCCCACACAAGAACCCCAATTAAGCATGTAAAGCCAATGACCATGGTGAAAGAAACAAAATGCTGAGAAATATTGTTCTGCCGAAATACTTTGTGCACAATGAAATGTAATAGTCAGCTATACATGCACACAATGCAGCCAGATACACCCACACATGTCAAGCCTACACATAGCTAAATCATGCACCCATGAAATGACTAAAAAACCCTTCACACATTTACCAATTTCCAAGTATGCCATTTGCATGCTAAAAGTCCACGCTACCCCCATGAAATGACCAAATGCCAAATATGCCATTTGAAAAGTAATAGTCAACTTTGCCCTTTATAAAATAATCAAATACCATATATGCCATGTGTAAAACAAAAAGTCCACAATGCTCTTTATGAAATACTAATTGACAAATATGCCATTTGCATAATAAAGTCTATAATACTTCTTAACACATAATGATATTTAATTAATTTAACACACATTTGCAAAATAATCATGTTTTCGACAATAAAAATAAAATGCATAAATGTCAAAATGACCAAAAAAAAAATGATAAAAATGCAATTGCTCACACACTCAGTACTCTAACAAGAGGTCTAGTGTGTCCTTTCATTTCAAAACGTACCAAACAAGAGAGTATCCACTCCATTAGCATCATGCAGTGAAAACCAGTAACATTAAAACTAGAAGCGTTTTTACAGGCCTTTTATGTTTGACTATAAATGAAGTATTTAGAAACATACCCTGCTGTCATGATTCTGTCAATACACTATTTCCATCTACAAACTCATATGAGGATGTCTTAAAGGCTCAATGTTGTCTTCAACATCTCCCACAAACTTATAGAAATACTTCCTTTTCTGTGTTTGAGATGCTGCCTTTCTCAGATTGCCCTTACCTAGTTGTTGTGGGATTCTCAACAATCTTCGTGAAAGGTTCTCAAGTGATGCTACTATGATTCGAGGCTTCACATTAAATTCCGCAAGCAAATTCTCTGCTAAGAAAATCACACCTTCTTCATCCCTCAATTCTTTCAGTTTAAACACTTTTACCACTTTTAGATGATTCAGTTGCACCGGTCTCATGGCATCCCTTGAGTACTTCCAACTGGTGCATGGCACGCAATAGCTTTTGTAAGTACGGCTTTGATGGCTACATAAAGGAGAGCAGGTGTACCAAGGCCTTTCAATCTGCAAAATTCATTAGCAGGGTGTTATACTTGAGCCCAGTAAAGTATTTAGAGTATTTACGGCTTTGATGGCTACTTAAAGAAAAGCACTCGTTCCAAGAAGACTCTAAACTTTTCTTCAATAAATTGTTCTTGAGTTCATTCATAGAAGAAGCTGCTTCCAATATTCCAACTAAAGTCCGCTGATGAAATTGAAAGTCCCTTACAAACTGAGACTAGTTCCTGTTTTCAGTGAAAGAACTTACATTTATGAAGAGTCTTTCCAAGGAAGGACACATCTTCAGGAAGGAGACCAAGGCAAAAATGTTGTATTTATTCATTGAGTTGTCAATCCACCATAGATCCTTTAATTTTTTAAAACGCACCATGTGTGACCACGCCATCCCAATTTCCTGCAACAAGAAGTTCATACAAAAACCTTTATGATCTCACATATTTGCAACAGAACATTATAGATATTCAAAACCTACCTCGAATGTCCATCTGCATAGTGTAAGCCTTTTAACATTTTTTATCCTTTGAAGGAGTGAGTCAAAATCTTGGCAGTTAAAGTGATTGTAGGCTGAGCATTCTCTGAAATAAAACTTGGCATCTTGCAATGAAAAATAGCCTTCCAGATAAAACCGGGGAAGTCTCCCTCTAATCTGAAGAGATTGAAGTTCGCAAGCTTTAATGTACAGACACTGCAGCTTGGGACAGTCCAAAACAATCAAATACTGAAGCCCCGGAATATCTTCAATGCATAGAGATTGCAATTCACTATGTGCTCTGATCCTTACAGATTGCAATCCATTCCATTTTCTCAAAGTTAAGTTCTCAAGAAAATTTAATCTTGAAATTATGGAAGAAACTGTGTCACTGATGAGACAGTTCACTGATGTTAATTTAAGAGTTTTGACAAGAGTCAAAGAGGGATGTTCATTGCGGAAAAGGTGCCATAAACTCTGCCCCATCAACTGCCAACGAAACTGCCTTGGGAGTTCTTGTTTTCCTTTAGAAAAATCAAGATGAAGTTTTCTATTTAATCCAATGGAAGCTAAGAGGATCTGACCTAGGCCAAAGTGAAACTGAAGCCTTCGATGGTTCTTTAAAGGATCAAGCTCATCAAACTGATTGAGAAAGTCAGCAAGGGCAGATTCGATGTCGCCTTCAGCTCCGTGTTGCACTGAAGTCCATAAGTCATTCAATCGTGTGGAAAGAGGGCTGATTTTTATCATTTTTACCGCAGAATCAAAAGGAAGCAAGGAAAGGATATGGAGAAGGATCTCATTGGGTAATTTGCTAATCAGATCATCGGTATCATTTTCCACAACAGAGAACCTGTTCCAAAATTCAACATTTTTCATGCACTACATCATAAAAATAGCACTGTCTGAAGAATAAAATTAGAAACAAGAAGAATTATTTCTTACTTTGGAGAATTCAAGGTTTCCGGAATTAACAGGTTGTTTCTTCTTTTGTCAAGGCTTGGATCCTGCTGATGCCTTTGATTCTTCTTTTTCTTTTGGTGCTTCTTGCCCATGTTGGATCAAATTTTGTGAGTATGGTGGTTGTTTGACTATGAACTGTTATAAGGTTACCGCTTCATTATGCCATACATAAATATTTCATTTTTTGAGATAAAGACAAATCAAGAAAATATGAGGAAGGAGCTGCCAAACCTAGGAGACAAGGAATTCCATCTGGCCTTTTGGATAAAAACTATGTTCTATGTAGCATAGAAAATTAAGGAAAATGATTAGTTATTTGGGTTAAACTCGATTGCTTTACTTAAGATGATTAATGAACTTCACTGGCCTCCTATATGGCAGAAGTATTTTCATTGTGCATTTATACTTGGTAATATTCCCAAATCATGAAAATATTAAGGGTGGCAATATGTATGCAGTTCATTTAAATTTCCAAGCCATGCAATTCTCTCTTTTTAAGTTTTCACTTGTTCCTTGTGTGATTGTTGGAATGTGGGTTTGCCTAAAGGATTTTATTTTATTTTTTATTATTATTATTTTTTTCAAGTATGCTTCTAGGAATTGTTCTTTGTATCTATCGAAAGCATATATTGTTTTTATTTTTTATTTTTTATTTTTTATTTTTAAGCAGGATGTGACTGGTTTTTCTATCATAGTACTGACATGGCTATATATGGAATCAAGGTTTGGTTCTTAGCGTTTACCCATTGTGGCTTATCAGCAAAGACAAAAAAATATATTGTATGACTTTTTGATTTTTAAATTGAATTATGGAAGTTGAAAGAAGTGCACGTGTGAGAAAGGTGGAATGAAACAACAGTGGTGCCTTATCCATGGCACCTAAAGGCTTGTGGCACAAACCTCTTAGTTGAAAGTAGTGATGGTGAAGCTGTGCTTATATTTTTGGGGAAAAGACACCCAAAAAACAGAAGGCAATAAATAAAAATTCTTCAGTTTTTGTGATTGCAATGTTTAATAAGTTCATGAAAGTGTAGCCTGTAATTGCACTTAAAAGGTTAACAACATTACAATCAATATGTTTTGCAATTTGCACAATTTATATGTCGATTCCTACAACAATATAAACCAGGAATTGGTTTAGTTCTAACTGAACAAACAAAACAAAACAAGAGTGTACTACTTACCAAAAATACACACACTTCTCTTTCCTAATCTGAAATTGGTTTTCTCGTAATTTCCTCAAGTTTCCTAATCTGAAATTGGTCATCATCTCCTTTAACATGGAAGTTTCCTATTATTGTCTATATAAAGACCCGTCCCGTCGACTCCTACTCAGTTTTGTTTGTTCAGTGAGACCTAAACAAAGAAGGTCTGCCTTTAAAAACTCATCCCGTCTAGGACTCTAGTCGTCCTCCTCCTCAAGTTATCCATCCAATTGCGAAGCGAATTCCTAAAAATTAAGGGGCAGACATCGATAGCAGTCGAAGATTGATATCGAATTGCAAAGCCAAACCCTAAAACTCCAATTGCGAAGCGAAACCCTAAAACTCGAAATTGCGAAGCGAAGCCCTAAAAATTAAGGGGCAGACATCGATAGCAGTGATGGCGAAGAAGAAGCCAATATCTGGAGGACTCTCATCATCCGGGGAGAAGAAGGAGGAAATCTCTGAAGCTTTGGCGACGGCAATGGGACTCCTAACCATCGGAGTCTCATCATCCGGGAAGAAGAAGAAGGCAATCTCTGCATCTTTGGGGACGGCAATCGGACTCTCATCATCCATGAGGAAGAGAAGGAAGAAGAAGAAGAAGGCAATCTCTGAATCTTTGGCGACGGCAATGGGATTCCTCACTGTCGGACTCTCATCCTCCGGGAAGGAGGAGGAGGCAATCTCTAGATGTTCGAGGCCGTCTCCGCCAAAGGAAAAGGAAAAGGAAAACGAGAAAACTGTGTATCTTGGTGTGAATGCGCGTGGGTACAATCGTCAAGAAGGAACCGATTTGTACATAATTAAATTATCAACCAAGAAAAGGAACAACAATACACGAAGAAGAGTAGAAAAGCCCTTTCGTATCGAACCCATCGTGATGAAATTGCCACTTTCGTTGGGGAGCTGCTCCGTCGCTGTGGGCTCCACTATATACTGCACTAGCGCCGCCGCAGCAGCAGCCGACAACCACTCGTCCGTCGTCGTTGCCTTGGACACCACTAATCTTACTGCTAACTTCACGTGGGATCAAGCAGCATTTACATTTACTGAAATGAACATAAAAAGGGATGGCCGTTTTTCTGAGGCAGTGACTGATGGTGATGGCAAGATCTATGTCTTTGGTGGTATTAGACGCTACTCCTCATCCTATGCTGAAAAACCCCCCATTGATGACAAATTTTTGTGCGAGGTTTTCGACCCGAGCAAGAATACATGGGAGCCCATTAATCCGCCACCACCCTCCGCAGCACTGCCGTTTCTGCGTGCTGAATCCGATCTTTTTGCAGTGTACGATGACACTTTGAGGAGGATTCTTTTGGGTTCACTTGGGGGTGATGGTTTTTTACTTTCCTATAACGTGAGAGATGCTTCTTGGAAAATTCTAGACCAGAAATTCACCATTAACATGAAGAAAGATATTGTGCCGCCCTATATGAGGAGCCGCCCTGTATTATTTGATAATACTCTATACTGGATTCAGATTCACAAACGTGGCTGCATGCGGATGTATAATTCTGGCGTATATGCTTACAATTTGGATCTCAAAACATTCATCTACGGGCCTATCATCGGTATACATCCCTACTTTTGGGAGGGCTTCAGTGTTTCAATGGACATTCATCATTTCCGTGGTGACCAGTTCTATTTGATTTGGATTTTCGGTCATTATGTTCGATGCGAAAGAATGCGAATTCGAATGAACAAATGGAAGGAAGGTAGACTCACAGCTTATGTCGTTTCCACCCTAGCCTATCAACTCAACAACCAAATATATGATGGCATCCGTGCTTTGCTCCTGTAAACAAGCTTGTAATGCTACTACAAAATTGTATTGTTGATAACTTCTTTTTGGATTTCTTGGTAATTTAGATGTTTGATTTTGTTTGAATGACCAAATGTTTTGAAGAGAGACTTTAATAAATGAATATGTGGTACAAAGTGTATGATTTTTTTTAATACGGATGTAAAATAATTCAATGGCAATTCTTAATCGATTTTAAGTTTACATTTGGTTTAAATAATATTACTCACCGGTAAAAAAGATGCTAATATGGAATGTAATCTAGGATGAAATTAATGTTAAAAGTGGGGAAGTCTCCCTCTAATCTCACGAGATTGAAGTTTGCAAGCTTTAATGTGAAGACATTGCAGCTGGGGACAGTCCAAAACAATCAAATTCTGAAGCTTTGGAATAGCTTCAATGCATAGAGATCACAATCCACTGTATCCTCTCATCCTTAAACCCGAATAGCTTCAATGAAGGAAGGTAAACTCACAGTGTAACGACCCGAACCCTAGGGTCCGAATCGCTAATCGGGTCCTTACCCGAACCCGAGGTCGTTTAAGGGCACTATAGTTAATTCCAAGGTTGATACATAATATATGTATCATCCCAAGGCTTAATAAATAAATAAATAAATAAAATAAGAACACAGCTACAAAAGATATCAAAACAGTTTACTAACCCATCTAAACTTGTGGAAGAGCGTCGTCCACCACTTTCTTCCCGTGACCTGAAAAATGTTAAAGTAATGGGGTGAGCCAGCCGCTCAGTAGGAGGTGTCTAAGACACACCTCTTAATGAACCCGTGAATCCATACAAAGCATAGGATAAAAGAAGTACGGGATTATACTATAGGGAATATCACAGCAATTGTAACGACCCAAACTGGGGGTCCGGATAATTAACCGAGTCCTAATCCGAACCTGAGGACATACTAGGGGTAAAATGGCCTTTTTACAATATGAAAGGATAATCCATCCTTAAACTAGTCAAATGAGGTTTAAAACAACTATTCTAGTCATTCCATGATGCTCGGTGAGGTTCTACAGTCACCGGATATGAATTCCCAAAAGCGTCATTACCGGTTCAAGGCAAATTCTGATACTATTCCACTACAACAACCATAACTCTCAACATGAATGGAATTTGAGGATGAGGTAGGTCTCATTGGAAAGCTAACTCAAAATCCTTAAAAATGGACTCAAGAATGACCCTATTTGGGTTTGGAAACAAAAAGTTATGACAGTCCAAAATCTGATGATCAAAGCTGTCAAATTGTCAAGGCAAAAATGACACACTGGAAGACTTGAACTGGTTGAAGAATCCTGAACTGGTTCAAGATGGGTAGTTAGCCCATACGTGAACTAAATGCACCCCTTGAACTAGTTCAATGGGGCTGAACCGGCTCAAGATGTCCAGAACCTTAAAATCAGCCCAGAAAATACCTAAAATTGATCTTGTGCACTTGGGCAATCCTTTGGTCCCGTGGTGACCTTACTCAAAGCCCAAACCTATCTCAAATCTTCCATATAATGATAAAACTAACACAACTAAGTAGTACAAAAATCAAATAAGATCATACACAAGTCCAATATACCATTAAAATTAAACCATAAGCGTCATACATAAAAAATATGGCCTTAAGGCCTTACATGGATATTGAAATCATAATGAGACCACAAAATACAAATGAATGGTGTAACGACCCAAACCGGAGGTCCGGATCGGTAACCGGGTTCTTACTCGAACTTGACATACTAGGGGTAAAATGGTCTTTTTACAATATGAAAGGATAATTCATCCTTAAACTAGTCAAATGAGGTTTAAAACAACTATTCTAGTCGTTCTATAATGCTTGGTGAGGTTCTATGGTCACTGGATATAAATTCCCAAAAGCGCCCTTACCGGTTTAAGGCAAATTTCGACATTATTCCACTAAAACAATCATAACTCTCAACATGAATGGAATTTGAGGATGAGGTTGGTCTCATTGGAAAGATAACTCAAAATCCTTGAAAATGGACTCAAGAATGACTATTTGGGTTCGGAACGAAGAAGTTATGCCCGTCCGAAGTTAAGTGATCAAAACTGATAAGCTGAC